AAAATAGATCCATAGTGTTTCCATAGCTCTTTCATAGTCCTCATCAAATGAGAAGAAACTCTGGCAAATCAAGGATTATTTCTGCTTTTCTTTTTCCACCACTGTGCTCAGAGTAAGCACTCCAGAAATGTGTATGGAATAAATGGCACTGGAATGTTAGATGTCCTGGTTTCATCTTCCAGTGCGTAGCATCTAGGGTAGTATCTAGCACATAACGAGTACGAATGTACAGTTTTCGGAAGCATGGATGTGTCAGTGAGTGAATGGCTCCACCATTTTGGTAGATTTATCAGATGCAATGGAGTCAAACAGAAAAAACTGGGAACAATAAAAAATCCAACGATCCACCTCCCACAATTTGGAAGCTGGGTTAGACGCAGTGACTCGCTTACAAAGAATAGCACAGGGAAAGCAAAAAGACAGTCACCGTACAGAGGCAAAAGCTGGCAAATGCAACCTCAACCAAGTGCTCAGTTCCCATCACAAGCATGTCCTGTGGCCAGCAGCCAGCCCTAGACAGGACGGGACGAGAAAGGTACTTCACCGCTGCAGCGTCTTTCCAAGAACCCACAACTCCAGTCTAATTATGAGTCAAGACAACAGACGAAGCCAGGGTAGGGTGTTCCACAGGACACTGGCCTGTATTCCTCAAGACCATCAAGGTCACGGGGGGAAAAGAAGGAAGACTGAAAAACTCACAGACCGGAGGAGACTGCGGGGACATACAACTCAATGCATGTGGCGCCCAGGATTACATCCCAGAACAGAAAGCCCAGAGCTTAGCTCATAGTAACAAATCAATTATCGGTCTCTTTGACAAATGTGTTATGGTGATACGAAATGTTTAACGATGCAAGAAACTGGGTAAGGGGCATATAGGAACTCTCTGTAGTGTCTTTGCAACTTGTTTGTAAATCTAAAATTATTCCAAAATAAAGTTTATTTTAAAAAAATTCAGTGATGTATATCAGATGATACACTTAAGAAAATGTATAAGGACCTAAGAAAGGGAGTTGGCAGGTATCTGACCAAGTCAAGTACGGGCGTCCAGCGCTGATACGTTTCACAGGTGTAACTCTCTTGCCATCACGGCATCTCTTACACTAGTTGACACAAGAGAAGTAAATCCAATGATTACTTGAATATTCTTTCCATAATCTTACTGTAATATTTATTAGTGTTTTCAATTCTGTTTTTGAAAGTGAGTCGGAGGGGGACAGTGGTGTGTGAAATGTGAAGCGAGGGGATACGTGAGAGAGGGCAGCTGCTCCGAGTCTGGCTTTTGAACCTGCAAGTTGAAGAGCGATGGAACAGCTGGGTCTTTTGTAACCACCACCACCACAATCGCAGCTGCTACCTGGGGAGAGCTCACTAACGCTGCCAGACTGCGCCACAGGGGTTCCATGTGCAGCATTACATTTCACCCCCAGCAACCTATGAGGCTGCAGTTACATTCTCATTTGGGAGATGAGAGATTCGGTCATCAGAAAAATTACTTCATCAAGGTTGCAAGTGAGATTCAAACACAAACATTTCTGACTCTTCTAGTAAGTCATTAAACAAAACACAAGGAAATTCCATCAGGATAACTACCCAATCCATCTAATTAGCCACAATCATTAGTCTTACCAAGATAATAACATACTGAGGTATTAAACATTATCTAGACATACTAAACTGTGAATGTCCAGACAACATCCAGTGTACTGAGGTACTGCATGTAAAGGGGTTGTTGAACACTGTATTTGATACACAACAAATGTTAGCTTCCCTCCCCATCTTTGTAGCCCACATCTGTTTTCAAGTAGCTCCAAACTGGTTTTTACTTTTGTGTCGTAGGCCCTGGACTCACATGAATTATCTCAGCAATTCAAAAGTGCAGAGTAAGCTGATGCCAGAAGTTCAGGCAGTTTCCAGGAGACAGAGTCAGATGTTGGCTAGTATCAAGTTATTCTGGATATAAACATACATGTCATGTGTCAGTGAAACTCTTTTGTAGTTAGAAATGCAAGAGATTTAAAAAAACTGATGACCCTTTGCCTAGACTATATGATTACAAGCTTTATTAAGAACTCATTTTATAGTTTATTCAGGTTATGGGAGTGAGTTTCTGCTATAATCATTACAGTTTTACTGTAAGAATTTTTTTTTAATATAGTCACTTTTGCTTCATGTTCTACCTCAAGTTGAATAGACTTTCCTCTTTCGGACATCATAACCATTATCTTGAGGATTAATAATTCAGGAATCCAGTAAAAAAAAAAAAAACAAACCTCTAATTGTTTTAAGCAAGAGCAGAGGGAGGGACTGGCAAAGACTAACCATCTCTGCGTTAATATTTCTGAGGAAATGCCCCCACGTGAGGTGGGGCTAAATGGAAGGGGGACAGGAATTATTTAAAAGAGCATAATCTCTCTCCCAAAATAGGCATGGCGATTAAAAGGGCTGCCACCCTGAAATGACCGAGGAGTCCTGCCTTAGAGACAGAAGCAGGGCTCTGCAGACAACAAACATTCAGGCTTGTAATCTAATGTGAATAGTGACCCAAACACACGAGCAAGATTCTATTAGAGTGAAGGCAAACAGCCACGGCTGCCTGAGTGCATCACGTGGTGTATCACCAAGAAAGGGAACTGATTTTTTAAACCCCGGAACACAGGACTGCTCCAATTTGGACTTTGGACACTGACAAGAAATGAATGACTGAAGATGTACTCTCTTGGTTCTTCCGGGACGCAGGTCAGAGAGCATTCCTAGAGTCCCTTTTATCTAGACGTGTTCTACGCATTTAATTTCATTAATGCTTCTGAAATCACATATTTCGCTATGCACTGCACATATGGATTTGAACCGGCTTTTGCCTTTAAACTCAATTTCAGCTGTTGGCCTTCCCGTCAATCTGTAGTCACTTGAGAGTTGGAGCCAGGAAAAAGGGTGTGAGAAAGAACAAATGCATAAACCCCCAAGGACAAACGTTCCTGAGAAACCACAGCTCAGCAGCATCGTCACCATACAGTAAACGCAGAAGGACGGAGCTGGCTGCTTTTACTTCTAGCTCACGTGTTGTTTTCTTCAAACCTGCATCTTTAGAATGAGATACTGCTTTGATTCCCTCTTTGAGAGCTTCTTTGTTCTTTTGGGTCCCAAGACATGGCTGAATTTATTGGAGTTATATTTATACCAAGTCACCTCCCCCAGTCTAATATAAGAAGTTCCCTCACGTAAACATTTTATCACCTAAGATATGATGAGTGAAGCCCTTGCCAGGAAGTACCATCTTCTTGTAAAAACTCAATCACAATTACCTCTGGCAATAGTGGACCATTAATGCCACAGAAAAGACGGATCATTGGAATCTACAGATAAGCCTCAAATCTCACTTCAGCCAAAAATTTCAAAGGCTCCGCCACTCTCACTGACTCTCCTCATTGTTGATGGTAAGCTGCACAGTGTTACTAGCTTGTGATCCAGTCTCTTTTAATTTTTCAAACCTGTAAGCTATTTGTTTAGAGTTTTGTAAGAGAAAGAACATAAAACGTTCTTCTTTATAATCAGTAGCCTCTAAAAGTTGGTTTCATTTACACTGTAACTACACCTCCCACTGCAAATACATACGTCCACCACATTATGGGTTAAATTAGACCGTGTGCTAGTCTGGCACATATGACCTCACTCACATGAAAAAATACAATCCGCAGAAGGAGAAATGCAGGGGTTCAGGGAGTTGCTTCTGCTTCACCTGAAACACTCCCACCAAAGGGAAGGAGAGTGAAGGATGGAGCGAGAAGGCTGGGGAGAAACTGAAGGGTGCCAGCGTTTACGGAAAAGAACGAAGAGGGCTGAGGAAGCTGCGGCGGCGAGGGAAGGCGAGAGCACGCCCACACAGGGCTCCTTGGGCAGTTCAGTGACTGCGCTACCAGGAAAGTGGATCTTCGCTCATGCCACCTCCCACCCACCCCAGACGGTCCCTGGATTTCAGGATTTCCACCCACGACACCCCACTCCAGATCACAGGTTCAGGAATCAAAGCTCAGAAGTTGTTATCCCTGGAATGTGCCCCCTACTCCATTCCTGCCAGTTCTAACCATCTGCGTCTTCTACACCTCGGGGCAGGTCCACACGTGGAGACAGTTTGGGTTTTAGTTCATCAGTCTCCGGTTCTGCTCCTTCCTTTGTGTTGGCATTGCTGACTCTGCTCTTGGACATTGGCCCCCATCTTCCCTGACTTTACTGCACTTGAGTATTGGCCCCCACAGTCAAGAGGGAGCCCAGGACCCGAATGTCCAGCACACCTGCAGTCTTCACTTCTGCCCGACTTTACCCAGTTCCCTCATATATCATGATACAGACAAGGGTCTGAAAGAGTGACTGCAACATAAAAATGCCCAATAAATATGGAGTGATGGACAAGGCAAACTAACAGTTATATATTTAAAGAAGCATATGGAAAATATGAACACTGAGAAGGAATTTATACGCTGACTCAATTTAAGATTTCAGAAACACTGGCACCTCATCAATGATTCACTTTGCCATGGCATTCAGTATTCTGTGGGCCCTTCTCTGATATCACACAACTGAAGGGTGTGTCTTCACAGATAGCTGTCACACCAGCACGAAGAATGAGGACAGTATTTGAATGCAGGTTCCGGGAAGAGATGTGTGCTGTCTTAAGAGTTTTCTAGATGTTCTCATACCATGTGGTATCATCAACTTTCTGCTTTTCTCATCGTAGGTAAACCTGAGACTTAATGGTTAATAAACCAAGAGATCCTAACATGGCACCAAGACAGAATTATTTTATTCCTAGAATTTCCTTTCCCAGTTCCATGTTCTCCAGCCCATACAGCCATCACCTGGGGTTCACACATTATCATCCTTCCCTTCATTTCTCTAACCTTGACTTTCAGACACAGGATGAATCTATCCATCACACCAAGGAGACCAAGAAGCTGAAAACAGGCTGACCACATGAAATCCATCAGAAATCTCCAACTTACAAGCTTCCCGGAGTTTCTCTTTGTCGTAGTGGAATCCTTCATAGTCTTGTAAACTGATTTTGTTCACCCGGATCCTCAGGCGGTCAGGGACAGACTGGGGACTGAAAAAGAAGAACCGGGTGGTCAGACTTGAGGAGAAAGAGGGACTGAGAGTCATACGCACCTGGACGGACTAAAGGCAATATTGTCTCTTCATGCTAAGAAGAAGGAGCTCACATTCAAACCACAATTGTGGGTTCTTTACCAGAAAACAATTATCTAAAGAACATGTCATAAACCTCAAGTTTCTGGAATTTATGTGAGAACATGGAAATAAGCAGAAAAGGCTTCTGGAGGTCATTCATGTTTTTCTACTACTTATTAAAAACTCCAGTGGTGGGGGAGGGTATAGCTCAGTGGGAGAGAGCGTGCTTAGCATGCACAATGTCCTGGGTTCAATCCCCAGTACCTCCACTAAAAAAATAAATAAAAAACTCCAGTAAGATCATGTGTTCGGTTCCACTATAAGTCAGATGCAGCTAATCTGAAATGGTGAGAAGTGGTGTGTAGCTGAGAAAAGTGCTTTAGGAGAATATGCCCCTGTCAGCCAAACAGGATCAATGGCAGCTTGGCTCTCAGAAGAGACAAAAAACCCCATAAAAAGCAGGCCAAGAATTCAGAAAGCCCAGGACTGAGAATGAAATGGCTCCACACACCTCGATCTCTCCGAGAGCGCTTCTCCATCAAAGCAAAGCACAATTAATGCTACCTGTGACGGTGGTGCTGAGCACCCCACAAGGAAGACCAACTGTTAAATACATACAACGTACATTCTTCAGGCAGAGAATGAAGTATTTAACTCATTTTAAAAGAACTCAATCCAAAGTGGTTCAGGGTAGACACTGAACAATTAAAAGGAGTAGAATCCAACTTCCAGAAGCACCCTATTCACCCTCAGAATGTCTTTACTGGATTCCTTGGTGGTTTCTAATGAAAACTTTCAAAACAGTTTAATCACGGGCACTAGTCAAGTGAAATAATTTGATCTCCATCATCACCACTATGGATCAACACATTTAGTCACTGTATTAATACAGCATAGTCCCCACCCGTCCATGCTGCTTCTTGTTCCTTGTGTTACAGGATAGAAGTCCCCAAAGGCTGAAGCAGAAAGAATGACTCCTCATTCACTTCAGGAAGGGAAGGCAAAGAAGGCAAGGAAGGAAGGAAGGCAGAGAGAGAGAGAGAGAGAGAAAGGGGAAAGGAAGGAAAGAAGAGCGAGGAAGAAAGGGAGGGAGAGGGAAGAAAGGAAAAGGATGGAAAGGACAGAAGGACTCAAAATATTGTCAGGACACCTCTACCCCCATCTCAAACACACACACACCACACACACACACACACACAGTTTTACCGCAGCTCCGGGAGAGGGAGAGAAAAAAAATTTAACTGCATTCTCTTGTTGAAAAACTCATTTTAGGGCAAAGTATAGCAACTCCCTCCATCCAGACTCCCCCTTACCAGGCGCTGACGACTAAAACTGACATGAGTGTTTACGTCGGGGCAGGAAATACGGTCTGGAGCACATTTGTAAAGGAGCAGAACAGACCTTACATGTCACGTGTGCCCACACCGCAATTTACAGAGCAGGAAACTGAGTTTCAGAAAGGCAGAATGACTTCAGGTCCCAGAGCCACTAAGTGACAGAGCTGGGAGCAGAGTCCCAGACTCTTCGCTCATCCCTCTCATGCTCCTTCTATTCTGCGATCCAAGAGTCCCACAGATCTGACGGCAAAGCCACAGAGCCTGTATGAGCAGAGTCAGATGGTCTCCACGTGGTGCACAGACTCTTGTCAACGAACAGTCGACAGGAGGGTGGTTAAGTAAACTGTGATACATTCAAACAGGAGAACATGGGGCACATATTACAAATGAGTGTCTACACGTAGAGGAAAGTCTGACTACAACCTATTGCTAAGTGAAAAAAATCATGGAAAATTAAATGTGGCAACTGTGGAATTTAGGAGTCTGTAGAGAAGCATCTGAAGAAAATGTTCCATCAGCTGTTCTAGGCGGTTGCCTAGACAAGGTGGGATTAGGGGTTTTTTTCAGACCAAGTACCATCATTTTTAGAAAAATAATATACTTATTTTTAAAGTACGTCAATACATAAATAAATGGTAACTCAGGGCAGGAGTAAAAATGAGGATTATTGGAGCATTAGGTATTAAACGTAAGTAGACAGCAAGCAGAATTATTAACAGAGTGACCACACGATGTTCGCATAAAATGCTTATGCCGAATTCGAAGAGGGGTATGACCTCTTAAATTTCAAGTTCATGTGAGCGAATGGCAAAGATTACAATCAGCAAATATTCTCCTGCAAGCATGGCAGACAGAGGGAAGCTGGAACCACAGAATGCCCTGTCATGAAAAAAGGGGGAGGGCAGTGGTTGAAAGCTCCACCAAAACATTTCTTGAGTTGACAGCAGATCTCAGGGCAGTGCACTTCAGTCTTCTCCAGGTGGAGGTATGAAGACTGAGATCAGCAGCTGCTGAGAGGGAAATCAGGTTCAGAGAACCACTGCAGACCGGTCCCCGCAGCCTCCTCCAGGGAGCTCCCCATGGGCTCACCAGTGTGGACCCCTTTTCTCAAAACCCATCAGTGCCTGCTCCCTGTCCACACACTTTTGCCTCCCGGTTTCTCACCTGCACCCACTGATTCCAGCCACACGCCACTGCCTCCTGAACCACAGCCTCCCACCAGTTTCGCTGACCTCCATACAGGTGGCACACCATGGACATACAGCAGGAAACGTCATTTAATGGAACTTTCCAGATCCCAAATGAATTCACATATGATCTCATTGCATCTCCAGGATGGAAGAGAATGGAGACCCCCATGAACCAGTTGTCACCCTCCACCTTCCACCTTCCTGCACAGTCACTCTCTTGCTCTCACCCCCTATCTTACCCCAACAACCAACAGCACATCCCACTTTCCCACCAGCAGCAGCTTGGCTGAAACCCAGCCTTCTGCCCAGGGTGCCTGGTGTTTGACCTGCTACCCACCGGTGACCCAGATCAGGCCCATCAGGAAATTTCAGGGCATTCACCCAGAGTCCCTGATGGAAAATCCCTCCGAATTTCTCTGGACCCTGCTGTAAACAGTAGGTATGGGAGGCCGCTCAGCAAAGTGGTTAAGAGCTCAGATTCCAAGTCAGGTTGCCTGGATTGGAGGAAAAGTTCTTCCAATTACTGGTTAACCCAGAAACTCTGCTTCAGCTTCCTCATGGGAACAGTGGGAATGTAACAGTCTTCACTCACAGGGATATTATGAGAATTAAACGGGTCAAGACAGGTGATGTGCTCAGAATGATGTCTGGCACATTGTAAATGCTCGATGTTAGCTATTATCAGTATAATTATTACTCTGAAACTTGTTCTTGTAGGAAGGTTCCACCTAAAACTCAACGGCATCTGCTGCTGCAGGTGCTGGGAGGAGTTTGGGGCACGTGCGGGAACTCCCCGGGCACCCCCAACCAGCTGCGGGGCGTCCTCCGGAGGGAAGCCGTCTAGCCTGGCTGGTGTCTGGATTCTCCCAGACCTTCTGCCACTCAGTGTTTTATAGGCCAAACAACAACATGAACACAGACAATGAGAACATGTGGGAGAAGAGGACACAGAGATGAAATGAAAGCCAAGTAATTCGACTGTGTCCCTTTCTGTCAAAATGTATTAGTGCCGTGTCCCACAGATGGCTGGCGGGGGTGGAGGATGACAACGCTGTTCCTGGAGTCTGGGGAAGAGCACTGCCATTAGTTTTCTAAAATTAAATTTTGCCAGGAAAGTTAGTAGCGCAGAGAAGAGACTGACAACCTGGGTAAAAATGAGTTTGCCTCTGTGCCAACATCTACCCCCAGCTACTCTTGGAGCTACTGACTTAACTCCGTATCAGGATTTCCAAGCCCGACTTCCATGGAACCTCTCACGCTTCCTAAGAAGGACTCAGCAATCTGTGAGCAACGGCCTCAACTTGTCGCCTTTTCACGAATTTCCTCTGAAACAGCAAGAACGAACTCCTTGTGCAGAGTGGAAGTTCATGGCTCTGAACCTAACTCCCAGATGTGCCCATTGTGACCTTCTCAAGAACCATAATATGAGCACTTCTAGCTAAAGTCACCAACATGGGCTTCCAGAATCTCAAGACCACACCTTCCCTGTCCACTGTATGCACACCTGTCACTCTGAGATGTTGGGGGGTAAGTGTTGTGCCATCAAGACAACGGTCTGGACACAACTCATATCTAATTCTTATGACGCTCTGCTCTCCTGCGGTTCCTGCCAATAGATTTTTTAATTGACTCTTCAAAGACTTTCAATCCAGTAGAGTCAAATTCCTCCCTTACTGCCTTCAAGCTTCTTCATTCTTTCAATCAGTTTCTTTACTACACGTTGTCTCTCTCAGACTGATAACAAACTCCTCATTCCAATCTCCGACACACCGACACGACTTATGGACGGAGCTGATGAGCTGGGTGTTTCTGTTCCCTCTCCCAGACGACCAACATCACGTAATTCCTTTTTCTCACTGAAAACATGAACCACCTGGGAGTAACGCCACTTTTAAGACAGTATAGCACAGTGCATAAAGCAGGATGCAGAGTCAGAAAAATCTTTGTTCCAATCTGCACTCTTTCAATTAATATACATTTGACATTGAGAGCTCTGAAGTTACCTTTTCTAAACCATTTTCTGATCTGAAAACGGGACTGATAATAGGAATGCAGTGAGCCCTGAATGAGAAGATGCATCTAAGGCAACGAGCACATTTCTGGTAAATAGTCGGTGTTCAGGAAAAATGCATTATTGTTGTTTTGTTACTATTATTAGCATCCTGATGTTTTTTCAGTTTCTACGGGACTTTTTAAAATCCAGTCCCGAACAGTAACATCACAGCAGAAGCCAGAGTCATAGCTTTAAACAGCAGTTAGTAAATCTCAAACCTCAGCAGGATGCGAGTCTGCTGACGTGGGCAGGGAGACGTCTGTCAGAAGAGAATGCGAGTGGGGACTTGAATGACTGCAAGATATTCTACTCAAAGATACTAAGAGCATAAATCTTA